CGCGGTTTTGCAGAATGACAATGACAACGCGATTTTGTACTTTAAACGACGATATACAGATGTACATATTTTTTTATTCACTATTTTTTTTTTATTTTGGAATATTTTAATTTCCTTATTTAATTTTTTTAATGATAATTCGTTGTAACCTTTAATTTTTTATAATTTTTTGGAATATTTTATAGATTTATTTTTTTTTTGATATTTTGTAATTATTCCCTTTTGACTTAATTTTATTTTTTATTTATGTTTTATACATTTACTTCTTAATCGTGCCTTATTCCTATTACCAGACGAAATTTAAGTCAAAGATAGCGAAATTGCATACATCTTGCACCAACCATTCCAGACTAACCCTAAAATCCAATCAAGATAATGGATTTAATATTTGCCAACACTCTTTGTACCATTCCTATTAACATTACTTCTTCTTTATACTTCTCCTGTTCATTTGCGTGCGATTCGAATGTCTGCCACATTATTGTCAGCAACTCGCCACCGCCGCTGCCACTGCCACTGCTGCTACCATTTTCTGCTGCTTTGGCGGCGGTAACGACGAAGAGCAGCAACAGCAGCAGCAGCAGCAGCAGTGGCGTGGCGTTGCGTGTGTTGGACTGTTGAATGGACGTTATGGACGTTATGGTTCATAAATTCCCAACTGCATTTCTGCTGGAGCACAACGACGGCGTTCGCTTTACTGGTGCTTGGACGATGATGTTGACGGTGGTGCTGAAGAAGTGATGAGCCGGTGGAGCCGCGCGACGACCGGCTGGTGGAAAAACATCTGCTGCTGCTGCTGCTGTCACTGCCACTAATGTTTTTATTGTTTTCGCTTATGTTATTGCTCTCTTTTTTGTTGTTGTTGTTGTTTATGTTTTACGAGCACTCACATGTATGTAGGTAGTGGTTGTTATTACACTATACGGCAAAATCAACTTTTTTTCTGGGTATTGGAGCAAACCAATTTTTTTTTTAAAGAGATTGACTCATATGTATGGAAAAAAGTGGTTTCTCCGTTTTTCGAAGTTAGCCTCCGAAATCGAGATATGGGCCTTCGAAGTTCGACATTGGACCTTTGGTAAAAAGTTATTTTTAATTATTGTATGTAAGCAACTAGAAAAGTAAAAATATAGACGTGGCCCGTCTTTTGCTCTTATTTTAATGGTGGGGGTCAAAGGTCAGATGTTCGAAAAATTAAAAATATTATATTTAAAAAAATTCTTGACTGATTTTCGACTTTTTTGATTTTTATAGCACCTGTAAAAATGCCTATATTCTACATTCTATATTTTTATTTTTTTTTAGTTGTTTACATTCAATAATTTAAAACAATTTTTTTTTTTACCAAAGGTCCAATGTCGATCATCGAAGGCCCGTATCTCGATTTCGGCGGCTAACTTCGAAAAACGGAGAAACTAATTTTTAAATTATGAAACAGTTGGTTTTGTCCAATACCCGGCCAAGTGCTGTACAGTGTTACGATTGCCTGCTGTTGCTGCTGTTGCTTACTTGCTACAAACTCACTTGCTTATGTTGGTTTTTATTATTGATGTTGTTCTTGTTTTTGTTTGCAGTGTTGTGCTTGTTGTTGCACGCTGACTGAATGACTGCCTGTTGCCTGCTGTCTGCTGGTGCTGCCACTGCCACTGCCGCTTCTGCTGTTGAACTCATTTCATTAGGTTCGCTCGCTCGGCTGTTGCGCAGACGCATAAGTACCCATGTTGTGCCTAACTAAAAATACTCGTATGTACCTTCAAGTATGCACCTTCTTCGTATGCAGTGTGTGAGTGCACCATCATGGGTACCATCAGCAACGCCATCACCTTGTTAATGGAGTTCATCCAGTTAGCAGAAAAAATAAATATTTCATTACTTTTCTTCATTTTCTGCTTGTTTTCGTTCGACGGCCGTACTGGTCGCGTACCTCAATCAGGCCGCCCGCCTTCGTTTTGGTCGGTGCGTCTCATTCGCTTGTCTTTTTAAATTATTTAGTTCGAAATGCCGCATATTTTTTGAAAATTTCAAATTTCGGTAGTTCCTCTACACAATGCTCGCCAACTTTGACTTCCATTTGCTGCAGTCTTTACGGTCTGCATACAGTGATGGTAATAATTATAGCCGCACTACGTTTTCACAAGTTTGAACATGTTTTTATTTTTGTTGTTGTTATTTTTGGTTATTTTGTTTCGGTAAAAATTTCGAGTTTTTTTAATCAGATTTCCTAGAAAACTGCATATTGTAGCCCATTGAATAAAGTACAAGTTTCAAATGGCTAAAAAAGGTAGATTTTTTTAATTTTTTTTTATCCCATTTGCATAATTTATTTTTATATGAAAGATAAAAAAAATCAAAAAAATCAAAGGTAATTTTTAGCCATTTGAAACTTTTACTTTATTCTTTTTTCTAGAAAATCGAATTAAAAAAGCTCGAAATTTTTACGAAAGTTTGCTGTTTTTTTTAATATTGCAGAAAGTTTGAAACCTGGTTTTGCACGGGTTTTGTTCAAGAATGAACTATATTTTTTATTAAAAAAATAATCAAAATTAAAAAACAAAAAAATAATAATAACATGTAAAAACTTGTCAAAATGTTGTGTGGCTATAATTATTTCGACCACTGTATTTCCACTTTAAAGCGCGTCATGTGTTTTGGTTCGTTGGCTGGTACTTGAGCGAGTTTGTATGTCTTGTTGAGTGTTTTTGACAGGTGGGACCCTAAAAATATGTTTTTGTTGTTGTTACTCTTATTTCTTACGAACCTTATGTCGTATGCGCTTTGTATTTTATGCTTCAGCGTTTATTTTTTTCCCCCCGGCTTCGTATAACCAAATACACAATTTTCTTCATATGCACTTCCCTATTTACCGAAAAAAACAAGGAATTGAGAAAAAAAAACAAAAATTTTTTCGGATACGATTCAAATTGCATTTGCTTAACGACGGCAGTTGGTAGTTGGTGGCTTAGCTCCGTAAATTTGCTGAAGTTACACACGCTGCATGGCTATTTATGTACCTACATACATACATACATATGTAGATACATATGCACTAATTTATTTCTTCGCAAGCTGGAATCCTTGTTGCTGTTTCGCAGGAGGCATCCTTGGTTGCCGTGAAGAAATCTGTGTTTTTGTGCAGTACAGTACTGCTGCTCACACGTTTAAGTCTCTTTCGATTGGGTCATTGCACTTTCCCGCTCGGATTTTTTGTGTGGTTTTTTGCATTCTGCCATATCTACTTTTGAACCACTATTTCTAGAAAATTTCAGGCACGCGCCAGTGTCATGTTTATTTCAAAGGTTCCCATTATTTGTTGAGCGAGATTTGGAAGATTTAGTTGTATGAGAAGTGGCCACTACAACTTAGATCTACTTACTAGACTACTTTATTTCCTAAAAAAGGAACCGCTTATGGCTCCTTCGCACCTGTGATCAGAGTACATTTGATAATTGTTTAAGCTCTTGGAGGTGATCCATCGAAAGCTCCTGCGTTAATCTCATTTTGCCAGCGCGATAGTGGGCTGGCTTTCTACTTTCCCAATCAGTGAATCCACTAAGTGTTCTCGTCCATCTCATCTATAGGCCTATGAAACTGACAATTTTAACGTTATTGGACTAAAGAAAGAGGGGAGTTAGATGAGCCGGTTAAAATGGGATATGCAAATGTTAGGTATGTCGGAATTTATTGATTGAATGATATGAATCTAGCTTGCTACAATATACTGTTGTGAATTACGTCAAATTATGTTATGTTTCTCAACTAGGTGCTTTTGGGCCTAGCTGTGTAAGTTATGCTCAGGCTGCATTCCATTCTATGTGCAGCCTAGTGACAAGTCTGAAGCTTTATTCACTGCATTACTATACATCCGCCTCATTGTTTACAACAGGTCTCGAATCGCAGCATTCAATATCGAACGTAATTCGCATCGAAATTCTATATAGAGATTCAGTACGAGGCAAGTTCTTTCGCTCATCCGTGATTCCTTTCTTGATCAGTGTACGGGTACATCAAATGTTGATAAGTTTGGGTACTAAAAATTAAAAGAAAACATATATTACCTAAAAGTAAATTTTGTATTGTCCTTAAAGCCATAAAAAATTCGCTCATCCTTAAACCCTTTTACACAATTTTTTTGATGAAATACCATGAAACTGAAGTTCTACAAATTGATTGCTGAATGTGGTTCTCAGAATCATCTTTTAGTACTTGAAATATAGCGTTAAAAAGTACTACACATGTTTCCGACAAAATAGTTCTGATTATACATAAAAACGTTCATAAAAATTATTACTAAAAATAATAGTATAGAACATATTACTACTAAAAAGTATTAATACTAAAAATAGTATTACTTAATTTGTTACTACTTCTAAAAAATTTAGTACTAAAAATTTTAGTACTAAAAATATTTGTACTTTTAATATTAGTCCTGAAAATATTTCTAAAAATATTAGTGGCACAAACATTTGTACTACAAATATCAGTACTAAAAATCGCTAAGCTAAAAATATTAGTAATAAAAACAGTAGTACTAACTAAAAATACCAGTACTGAAAAAGCATCACTAAAAATAGTAGTACTAAACATGTTAGTACTAAAAAAATGTATACTAAAAATATTAATACTATACGAAAGATATTAGTATGCACTATAATATTAGTACTAAAAAATTTGTACTAAAACTACAGTACTAATAATAATAGTAGTACAAATATTGTACTAAAAACATTTGTACTAAAAATTTGTGCTAAAGATATTAGTACTAAAAATATTAGTCCTAAAAATACTAGTTCAAAAATATTAGTACATACATATCTACTAAGAATATTTGTACAAACTAGGTCTGAAGAGTTAGAGTTACCAAGTAAGTCAAATCTGAAATAGGTTCATTTTTAATTGCTAACAAATTTTTAGTAAAAATTTTAATTACATATTTTGAAAAATTTTTGTGATTTGCTTCCAGTTTTTACTAAAATTTTAAATTTTTTATCTTTTCTTTGCAGATTGAAACTTTCGAAAGCAAATTAATGTGCAAAACAGTACAAAATGTGCTACATCAGTCGCTGTAAACGAAAAACATTACTTTTGGTAAATTCAAGTGGAAAACTTTAATATCCACTACAAAACTACTCTAGAAAACCTTAAACCTGTGAAACAAAAAAAACCTTACTAAAATCCCAAAAAATCCCAAAACTAAAAAAAAGCTATGTCTACGAAGTTCTCCGCGCATCCTGACTTGGCGGTCGAACAATTGCAACGAGCCGAGCTTGCAGCGCGACAGAACTCAAGCAAATCACACGCGCATCATAGGCGGCATCACTCTGTCGGTGCGGGGCTAGACAGCGGGCACAGTACACCGAGTAAGTCTACAACTTCCGCGAGTAAATCTGCGGCAACGAAAAATGCCCCCAAACTAATTTCCAATGCCACAGTAGATAAGACAAATTCAAGTGGCGTCGGCGCCGGCGCCGCCAGCGCAGCGGAACAGGACGCGTATTCACGTTCATCCCCAATGCGAACTTTTATGCCCAAAACGCATGACACACAAAATGTGGATGTGCTGGACAACAAATTCGCCTATAACGCCGATGGTGTCGATATGGACGATCGGATGGTGTTAGCGTATATCGATGATATCGATCTCAATTGTGACGATGAGAATGATGTTTACATACGAAATGCAAATAGTCGATCAAGAAACACCAAAGACTGTGTAGACTGTACGTCGTCGTCGACGTTGCGGTGGTCAGCTGCAGGCGTTGCTGCCTCATCACAACAACAGTCAGAGCAACAAGACGCCACTTCCGTGGATGAGCCGGATTACTTGCAGCATCGCTTTAGTCGAACAGCAGCTAGTTGTTGTAGCCGGCTGCCTCACAACAGCAACATCAGCAGTGATTACTACACCAGCGACCCGCGTGCCTCACCCATACACGCCATCAGCGATGGCTGTGTCAGTGGCTTAAGCAGTGCTTTAAGCTCACCCTCGGCCAGCACCGTATCGTCGCCACTTTCAACGCCGACAAGACTTGCGCCACATTTTCAGCAACAAAACCAAAATAACTACAACGGCAACAATTGCTGTCAAAAGTCGCTAACAGCGGGTGGTTGCTGTGGCGGCGGTAGCGCCAACAGCGACAGCGATAAAAGTTGCAATCATCTTCATCATCACCACCACAATCATCAGCATCAGTCGCCACAGCATCTTCAGCACCATCATCATCATCATACAGTGGCTTCATCTACGTCGCTTAAGTCCACATCTAAGACGGCGGCGGCTGCAGCGGCATCGTCGTCGTCGTCGTCGTCGTCATCATCATCAAGCGGATGTAAAAAGTCACAGAAATTTGATCCTCGACTACTCGGCCCGTCACGGTATCGTCAACTTTTGCCAGTTGTGCTTTGCATTCTATCGTTCGCGATCGTCTTCAGCATATTAATTGTTTACATGGATACGACAGGTGAGTTTATTAGATCGTAAATATATGTATTTATGCACTTAAATATCTTCCAAAAAAAAAAGAAATGTTCATTCCATTGCCTTTGTGCGTTATCATTAGTGAGGGCTTGAAAACATTCTGGTGCTGCATGGGTATCGGCGCAGTGGTGCTCCCTGATGTTTTACATATTTGAACGATGAGTTTGTTGTTTACCTTTCTTATTGTTTTTGTTTTCGGGTTCTATCTACCGGAAGCAAAGGCACTGGCCGCTGATGCTGCAGGCACACTTTCGGTATCAAATAACATCCTCCTAGTTAAGAAAGAGAAAAAATATTCAGTTTTTCTCCAAAAAATGATTCTAAAAAGTTTATGCAACTGTCATTTGTCGGACTTCAGTGTATTAAAAACCGTTTTTAGCCCATTATACAATATTAACGATGGCATACACAATTGAGAAAAACTAGATATCGAATTACGTATTTACTTAGTAGAAAACTAAAGTTTATAAGTTGTGGATTATTTTGACGTGTGTCTTTTTTCGTTGAGGACAGGTAGCTTCGTTTCCAAGTCTTCTATCTGTTTTGATTAAGTGCAATATTCTAAAATGGTTCGGACTGTGGCTAGCTCGCATGGGAATAACCAATTTATAGTAATGTAGTAGTATGATACATATGGGCCATTCCATACAATATTTACACCTCAATATTTTTTTTTTTTGGTGAAATACATTTTTTTACATTCTTTGCCGAAAAAAAGAAGACACCTATTTTTTTATTTCGTCGTGATATTCGAAAA